TTAATTTCTGCATTAATGGCCTGCCCGCTTTGGGAGCTTCGGATCCGAATATTTTGCAGCGTTTGGTCCGGTCAGAAACAGCCCTTTTCCTCGTTGACTCGCGAGTGTGACCTTCCTAACGGTATCCATGGCATTGAAGTGCTATGATTTGGTTAACATGTATCACACTCCGCGGCGCAAAGACGCCCCGACCGCATACAGTGGAAGCCCGCCAGCAGCAGGGGCCGGTACATGATGAATCGCTAACTAGCGTGCAGCATCAACAGCAGGGGCTGCAACCAAACGCAGGGTTTGGCGGTTCCGGTTCATTGCTGCTATGCATTATTACTCTTGCAATCTGGAAAGTCGTGTAGTGTTATCTTTCAACGTGATGCAAAACGAACGATAGTGAACGAACTCTATTCGATCAGTGCTTGAGTAGGGGTTAACTGGTCTTGTGTTTGCTTGGGCTCCGCAAGCCCTTGGAAACAGCAGTCGCCCGTGCAATTGGGCTTCCTGTCAAAGCGTCTAAGTGCGCGCCGCTTCCTGGCGTGTAAGAGACACCTCTTTGGAGAGGTGGTGGTGTGTGCGTGTTGCGACATTCTCCAAACCCGGCATTTGTACAAACTAAACTGCAACTCATCGGGGGAGGAGGTCTGGGGGGGTAGCTCCCCCCAACGCCTTACAGGTTAGGAATACTTTTATTCCCGCAACTTAAAACCTATTCCTCCGCTCGGGCTGGAAAATTGACGGGAAAAAATGAAAACATAAAACTCTGCTTCCCTCCCTCCCTGGACACTCACTCTCGAAGTAGTTTCATCGCACTCGTTGGCTTTGCCCAGAAGGCCTTGGCAGCTGCGTCCTACCTACCTACCTATCTACCCACCTACCTACTTACTTGCCTGCGCGTACATCCTTATCCACCCTCGGACCTCCCATCGACCCTCATTTCCCTGTGTGCCGTCATCTTCCTGTCCCTTATCCCCCCCTCTCTCCCTCCGGTTGACGTTGAGATCTCCCCTCTTCCCTGGGTGCCACTCGCCACTCCTCCACTGCTTTCGTAAAATGAACACGGGATGGCAACACGGGTTGTTTGGTGAATGCAGTTGGATGCGCATTCCCGCCCTGCCCTTGTGCACCCCCTCCAACCCCCCCTACTCACAGGCGGTGTTGGTGGCTCAGAGGCACAGCCGCGAGGGGGGTGATGTGGCGATGGCTGCGGCGGCGCTGAAGAGGCAGCTGGATCGCGTGCTGGGGACCGAGCCGGAGGGGCTGAGACTGCGACAGGAGCTGGGGCCGTTGATTGAGGAGATGGCGCTGCTGCATTGCTAAAACAGCCATCCAAAGCACTTCAACTTCTACTACCGCTACCACTACCAACAACAATGGCGAGAGCAGTCAACAGCAACAGCAACGATGACAACCACAACGGTAATAGTTAACAGCACTGTCCTGGGTTGACCATCACCGCCGCTAGCAATGAACAGCAATATACCACTGCACCTTTATACCTTGACTTCAACGCTGGCAGCACACCGAGGCAACCTCGCAGCTTCCTTGCTTTCAAGCCGAGCTCCGACTGCGCCGACAGCACTTCTTTGCTGTTCCACCGCTCCTTCCGATGAAGCATGCGGAGTGCTGCTGGGAGACTCTCCCCGGCGTGGTACCGTGGCAACCGTCATCCCCATGTCCACTGCTGGATGGAATGTTGGCCATTGAAGGTTGGCGCCTTGCGAACACAACCTTGATATCCCTTCCCCTGCTCACCAGCGACAACACTGTCCCAACACTATCTCTGCACGCATCTGCTTTTGGAGGACCGCACATCTGCTGCTATCCCACCCCTGGTCTGGGATGAGAGCACGAGCACCGCCCGGTCCCAGCCTTATCCCTGCGCCCTTTACGTCCCGGCAATGTCTCACCTCTCAGCTCCGTTTTCTTGGTTGGGTGCGTCACAGCGTCTTCTGGGGGCCGCCGCGGTGCTGAGAGTTGAGGGCTGAGAGTTGGGCACCGCGCCCTGCACGGGCTAGCAGGGCCTCGAGTGGTAGAGGGACCCCAACCCCCTGAGTGTGTGTAGCAGGCGGTTGCACATGCGTGAGGGGCGGCCGTTCAGTTCTGACCCGGGTCGCATTCCACCATTTACTCCCCTTGCACTTTATATAGGTTATTATCATTGGCTATTCTTTTGTTGCGGGCGCTTGGTCACGGCTTGAAAACGTGACTTGGTCTGATTTGGGACTGGGCGCCTTGTGCGTGACCTTTGAACGAGCTGGCTTGTTGTTGCATGTGCTTGTGTAGGTGTATGTGTATTTGTGTACACGCGCTCTGCTGTTCGTGCGTGTGTGGGAGAGAGAGGTTGATGGAAGACCAATGCACCGCAGGGATGTGAGGGGCCCAGCATGTCCATTTGTGCCATGTGTTGGGAGTGTGCGCCCTGGATCATCATGTGGAAATGCGGATGCTTAACGGGCTTGCGCACGTCAATTGCGTGCGTGAGTGCCAGGGGACGTCTAGCGAATATGTACGACAGCATCTACGGCAGCAATAGCGACTAGGGCGGTAGCGATGACAGCCGTGGTAAAGAAGTGATAGCATCTGCAGATGGTGGTGGTGGTGATGTTTCAGCAGAAAGAGCACGATAACTATTGAAAGTTTTGATGGGGAGAAGAGAAACGTCCTAAATGCTTTCCCTTTTCGTCTCATCTTAGGAAGCGGCCACACAACGGCGGCAGGTTGCGCAGCTTGTTATTGATATTGTGGTAATTGGACAGAAGTCAACCAACACACTTTCCCTCGCCAGATTATTTTTGGATATGCATATCGCTGTACTTTGGCCACTTTGCGGCTTCCTCATTTGCAATTCCATTTTGTTAAATGCAGAGCTGAGGTCAGGGGAAACGACTGGCGTAGGAATGCAGATAGGCAGGCTTAGCAGCAGCTGTCCAATCCTCGGCGGGCGCTCGCTGCCGCCTCTTTCCGGGCCGTGGTGTGCAAGTAATCTCCGGAGGGAGAGAGAGGGTGATAGGGCGCATACGGGTGTTGTATTTGCTATTTCTCGTGCAGAACCATTTTTTTACTAATGCCGAAGTGCGACGGGTTCTGCAGCTTTTGCAGGATTCGGTCTTGGCACCTGGCAGCGATCAGATCTCCCAGGGTGACCTGGCGCAAGCGTAGGTCTAAGTGGCGTGGCGTACCGGCGGACTCACCTTCCATTACGGACGCCCTTTTACGTGCACGATGCAGACGTTACCGTTCCAAAGTGGGTTTTGGGCGAGTTAAATTTGGCACCTCGTGACGTTGCGAGCATTCAACCAGCGCATTTTAGTATTAAGGCAGGCAGGCGGCGGTGTGCGCAAGCTAGGTGCGGCAGTGAGTCCTAAGCCGATGGTAGCGCAATAAAGCGAGCGAAGAGCTGTCAGCTACCCCGCGTGCAAATGCGGGACTTTTCGGAATCGTATGTTGCACACCATATAGCACCATCCACCATTACCACACTGTACTACGCCATACGAATCGTACGTGTATGGCAGGTGTCAACGAGGATTGCAGGTGCGTGTACGCGATGTGTGGATAGATAACGCATCATTGAAGGAGTATGCGTCGGGGATGGGTATTAATCACTGTTCCCAGAGATAGGGTTTTAGGCGGTCTAGGAGGCGGATCTTCGCGTCGCAGTGGTGTCTGTGGCAAGACATAATTGCCAGGACAGGTCACACCAAAAGTGTGACGTTGGAATGGGCGACACTATTCACCTCGACTGCTCGATACACATGCGCCACAACACCGAGTGCGCGTTTTTGAGTGTGCCTGGTTGTAGTAAGAGGTGAACATGGCCAACACATGGGTGGGTAACATACCTACATGTCTGTAGGTATGCACACATTTTGAAGAGGCAAGACATCGAAGTGGGTTTTCAGTCGTAATTATTTTTTCAACGTATTTGGCCACAGGGCCTGTGTATGTGGGCAGTGACCTTTCATTTGAGCACGAGGTGTTGGCTACAGCGCCATGCTTTTTGCTGAGATGTGTGCGTGTCATATGTGTCGTTGTGTTCTTGCAGGCTGTGAGACAGGTTGTAAGGAGTGGTGGTTGGGGGGATTAGGCGATGCTCTCCAGTGCGTTGCTCTCCAGTGCGTTGCTCTCCAGTGCGACACACCCGACCAGCCCGGCGGCTTAAAATAAAGTTGCAGGGCGACAGTGTGGCAAGGGGGCCTCTCCTCCCGGAGTCGGGATGGCAACCTCGCTTGTTAACTTGAGTTGTCTTAATAACTTGCGTTGCTTTGGAAAAGCACTGGGCGCAGTGGGCCACCAGTGCGCGCGTTTCCATTTTTCGAATCGGAGGGCTTATCGTCGGGTACATGGGGGCACAAGGATGCCAGTTGGGGTTGCGAAATGGGACTCTTGTTGCTTTTTGGGTTGCGCCAAGTTGCTAAGCAGCGACTCGCAACGCCACAACAGAAGCAGCCGAAGTTGCTAAGGCGAACCCTATGCATGGATGGGTGGTTGGCGTTGGACGTTACCGTACACCTGTTTAATGCCCAATTAGTGTGTCATGCGGCCACCACCGATCAGCGGCTTCGTCTGGTTCCTTTCGTCTCTCTGGTCCCACTGTAATAACACGGTTGATGCATACACTTGCTGCTTGGTGGAGGCAGGAAGGCACTGCTTGATGAAGGCACCGAATTACAAACCACGATTTGGAGCCCCGTCAGTCGGCCGCACAGTCACCTCTGGACTCAGCTATCTGCGCAAGGTGCGCTTGCCTTCTCCAAAGACACCCCCTTTATGTGTTGGCCCGTGATGAGATGTGCTCTTGGTTGTGTTGGTCCAGCAATGCAGCTAGCGCTGGGGAGGAACCGCACTGGGAAGGACCGCGTCCCGATTTGGTTTGGACGCGGAAGGCGGATCCCTTTCCTCCATATCAGATCTTCTTTTGTCGTACACCGGACAGTCCAGCAAAATGCGATTCTCATCTTCAATATGGCTATCAGTGCCGCAGCAGGGGCGATGTGATGTGATGTGGTGCCCTAATAGTGCTGTGGGATCTGATCTGATGTGGGTCCCGCAGCGGTTCTGAGCATCTCGCAGCGTGGAGTGACAGGAATAGCGGCCGGCGCATCATCCCCGCCAAAGATGTGGAAGCGTCTTCCTTGCCTGCAATTTTCTTAGCCTTCCTTAGAAGAGCTGGTTGACGAAATGTCTACCTGATAGGTGCCGAGGTGTGTGCGTGTGTGTGTGTGTGTGCACGTGTGCGGTGGGATGGTATCCGTTGCCAGCGGCTATCGCCCGAAGCGTGTGGCGGTTGCAGCTGGGCGGGCAGGCCTTTCCATTCATATTTTCATTGTCTCCATTGGCGGAGGAAAATGGGTATCGGTGCTTAATTGCCCGACAAGCTCGCAACCAGGTGGACGTAGCACATGGCCATCTCGCACCACGCTGGCTGGCTGGCTGGGCGCTTGTATTGCGCAAGATACAAGCGTGGAGCGCGCCAGCCAGCCAGCCAATCAACCAACCAACCAACCAACCAACCAGCAAGCGGCAGATAATTTGTATTTTTCGAACCGCTCGCCTTACGTTTCGGCATAAGCTATTGCCTCCAATCGACGGCTGTGCCTTAGATCTCCCCCTGATGGAGAGCTGCTGGACATGGGAGAGCCTCTGCTTATGGTATGTACGGGGCCTGCCTACTTGATAGAGCTACGGGCCTTTCCTGGGCTGTACAGTGTTTGGTTGTGCGGGCAGCGTTAGGAGGTCCACTGCAGTGTCATTCACTCGTTTTCGACACCATTAGCCGTTTCAAACGTCGTCAGGATTCGGGTCTGCAAATCCGGGTACGAAACTGCAGACACGGAAGCCGACATCCTTCCTCTGCCCTGCAGCCCATCTAGGTCCACCTACAACCCGTACGACCCGTACAGTCCGTCCAGGCCGCCGTCTCAAGTCGCCTCATGGCTGACTGCTAAGCGGTCCCTTTGAGGGAGGGTTGAGAGGAAAATAAAAGAACCCCGACGCACGTAACCTAAACGCGTGAGCGGGAAGGAAAAAGGGGGGAAAGGCTCATGTCTGGGACAAAGTCTTGGATGGGGAAACGACCCCTAACAACCATGTCGACCTGGCGGGCGTAGAAAACAAGTTTGGGCCTGTTTGCCACACCTGGATTCCGATAAGCATTCTAGTGCAATTCCTAATTATAATATAGCACATTAGAAATATTTGCGTGGTCGCATTTGCTGTCTGGTAATTCGGGGTGTCGTGCACGCGCCAAAACCGGTTCATTTCTTTTCTGAACCCGTTAATCCATAATTATCCCATATCTCTAGAGAGGGCCATAAGATATAAGGCAGGCGGACTTGCACTGCTGCTGTCGCTGAAAATTCCTAAGCCCGCACATACAACCGTCAGGAGGATGCGCGCTGCCAAGGTTCCAGCTAAGGCGACAACAGCTGCTGTCGCCGACAGTAAGTGCGACAGCTGGTGCCATTGTCTCACAAAGCTGCGTTTCCTGGTGCTGGGCACGTTAATTAGCGCTGTCTCTCAAGCTTCCGGTCATGCTAGGTTACCGGAGTCTGCGAGCATCCTGAAACAGCAGCACAAATTGTCCCCATACGTTAAAAACAATATTGTTTAGGTAACTCTTTGCGGTCAGCTTGGTCAAGGCCGTTGCGGGGTTGCGCTGGCAAAGAACCCTAGTGCATCCTCGGAAAGGTCAGGCATTCGGACACCCTGCGCCACTGCTTGTTGGAAATGCCCTTGCAGACGATGCTCTGGAGCAAAGCAGGATACCGCGCCTTCGCAGGGCGTCTAGGTCTACGTCGCAGTGCCTGTCTAGCGTCAGCAGTTCAGCCAACAGCTCGGATGCGGAGGCCGGGCACATCTACCCGGGCCGCGGGGCTAAGCGCGAGATTCCGCAGTCACGTCACGCTGTCGTGATCGACCATCAGGTTTGTGTCCCGGGGTTGCAGGCATTACTTGGTTAGCGGGCCAGCCGTGCGACGATGTCAGTTCCGTCTTCGCGCTCCTTTTTAACGGAATGCCCAAAAAGTACTCAACCGCGTAACTTCTTTTTATCTTGCGTTTGTCAAATATTGTTAACAAGTGTATACGCTCAAGAGGTAGTTCAGCGGAATATTGTCGCGACTGGGAGTCTTGTTAACTCCGACCTAACTGCACGTTTTGGAAGCTGGATAGGATTCTTCAGCTCTTTTCCCTATTTGGTGCCGCAAATGCAGGGCGCTGGCAAGGTGGTTCATAAGCCGGATGGGACCGTCGTTTGGGAGCCTGCGCCGGAGTGGTAAGCAACATCGTGCCGTTGAAACCGTTTGCGCCTTCCGGCATAGGCCTGTTTTCCTGCCCATCCGATTTGTATATTTCGACGTCCGAATAGCACATGGTAGTTTCGTTAGTGAGGAACGGAGAAGTGTTGCTTGCGGTACTGCGAAGCTTGTATATGGAGGTGGCGCCAGCATTGCCGAGAATCTGGTTCGTTGCCCCTCGAATCGGTATGCCCACCACTACCGTAACCACCATGAGCACCACAGCAATGGCTGCTCATGCATTTGTTTAGTACCCCTTTTCACACCACCTTGAGTTTCGTTACTCTCCACAGGTGTAACAGGCGCATACGAGCCATGAGGGCGCCCAAGGGCCAGGAGGCTGAAGGCTGTCTGAAAATAGATAACCATCTTAAAAATATACGCAGGAAACTACATTATTCTTTCGCTCAAATAGAAAAAACATGTTGGACAAACATAACTATCTAGGACTATTATGCTGTAGCAGCACGCTTGCTGCTGAAAATTGAGACCCTCGTTATCCAGGTACCCTGGGTAAAGTTTGCCAACTTCAGCTGGTCAACTGCTGTACTGAAGCCCGACAGAAAGCTCCTGCATATGCGCCAATACAGACTGTATCACCTCTTTTGAATAACTCACCTCAGACTTTCCGACCCTAAGTCTGAAGATCGCTTGTTTCTCATTTTGCAACGCCCCTGCCATGTTCAGTGTTATTGTTTGTGTGCGAGAAGGTCAAAGGGTCGAAGAGGTCTCCTGCGCCATGAGGCCCTCCCCTGTGTGTATAGCTGCCGTACCTCTCGGGCCTCACCTGGACTCCATCCCGGCTGGTTGCTGTGAACTGTTGCTGCTGATATTGATCATGATGGTGATGATGTTGACTACTGCTGCTGTTGCCTGTCGTGCTGCTTTTCCTGGCAGTGCTGACGTCAGCGGTTCGGGCGTGTCGCGCAACCCCCCTCTGCGCGACGAGCTGCTCAAGGTGCTGGGCACCACCTTCCTGGCGCTCAGCTGCGGCTCCGGGGTGGTGGGCTTCATGGCGGCGCACGTGGCGGCGGAGTCGGCGGGTGGGTGGGGGTGGTGCACATGTGGGGCCGGGGGTGTCTGCGTGTGTGGCTGTACGTGCGCCGTATGTGTCTACGCACGTATGTGTTATGTGTTCATATATGTATGTAAACTTAGCCGGAGCAGGACAAGAAAACGAAAAGCCTGTATGTGGGTGTTGTGGTGGGTGCGGGATGTGTGTATGCTACAGCCACGGTGGATTCCCCTCCCCCTCTCGCCCGCCGCCGCCACCACCTGCCCAGTCCAGTGCCCGGGGGGGTGTCCCCCGCGCCGCCTCCATCTCGTAGACCATTGCCCGCACTATTGCCGTAACAACCACCGCAACTACCATTCCGCAACCACCATTGTCACAACCACCATTGCCGCAACCCCGACGGCGGGACGAAGGGGAATCAACCGGTGCAGGAGGGGAACCCCGGGGGCAGGGACGCACTTCCATTCTTACACGGTATCCCGCTCGCCATCCGCCTGTCTTTGTCGTACACTTCAGGTCAGCCGTTCTGCCTCACTACCAAGGAACTTGCGGAGGGCGTCTCTCGTTACGTCGCCGGCTGTGTGGCGGGAATGGCGACAGGTACGTGAATATGTATGTACGTATATGCACAGTCGTGCACTGCTTTCGATTATCCAAGATCCATTTTCCACCCGGCCCCTACACCCGCACATTGCGATTCGGTTGGGGTTTGGTGTTGCTCCCTTTCCTGACCCCCCCGCTCTCCCTTGACATCCTTCCCCTGCCACACCCGGAAATACACACAGGGATGGTCTTGGGTCCTCTGTTGGCGGTTAGGTCGTTGGCGGGTGCACTTGTACGGCCCGCGGTGGTTGGCCTGTTACTGCACCAGGGTATCACCCGCATTGCCAGGTGGCGGAGCGGTGAGGAGGGAGGGGCGGGGAGAGAGCGGCTGTTTTGTGGATTGCATTCAGTGTGTGTGGTGGGGACAGATCCACGAATAGGTCCACTTGTCCGGGTCGGCGGTGTGGCCGCTATAGTGGTACAACCACCCACCAAACCAGGTTACCATTTATATTTCGATACTCCGGGCCTCCTAAAGTGGTTATGAAATGCCGATTCAAATAAATCAGGTAAGAACACGCAATAATATTACCTAATACAGAAGAAGAAAATATTGACGAGGATGGGATTTGAACCCACGCCCTTACGGACTAGAAACTTCTTCCTGAATGTGATCAGGTAGTCCTGAATCTAGCGCCTTAGACCGCTCGGCCACCTCGTCATGATATACTTGTAGAAGATGGTAATAAGAATAGAAATGTAGAGCAGAAACACAGATTTGCATCTGCGTATCAAGCGCTTAAACACGATGTGTGTAGCAGCTTCGATTTGGGACGTATGTAACACGATTTGTGTATATACGTACGCCTCTTGAACGGGAGGGATGTACGGGGGCACATGTGATCTATAATGGCAGGGTCGTAAAACCGTGCTTCCGCGTGAATTGACCCCCCTCCTCTCAATTTCTAACCACGTGTCGGTCCCAGTGGTGGTTCATGTGGCACCTCGGTCTTATTTGCTTGTGTATTGTGTATACAAGCATGTTTCCCCCTCCCCTCCTTCCTCTCCGTACTGTCGTACATGGCTAGGGATTGCGAGCTTGCTCCGCAAGCTTCAGTCTGGTGACCCCTCCCGGGTCCTGGACGCGCTGAGGGCCATCATCTCGGCGGCCAAGAGGAACCCCCGCTTTGCAAGGGAGTTCAATAAGTGAGTTCGTACGTCCGTATCATCTTTGTCCGTACTCACGTACGTTCTACGTTCGTACGGACGTTGTTTGTGGGTTGGAGAAGTTGCTACCATGCTACCACCTTCGCCCCACATTCCTCGACTGATCCTTCGCTGATGTGGGTATATATGTATGTATGTATGTATGTGTATGTATGCGTGTTGGCTGGCCGTTGCTGCTTGCCTTACTCAACCTAGTGCTCGCGTATCTTCTCCTGCTGCTGCCGCTGCTCCCGGGGCCCTTTTCGTGTGCGGGGTTTCCCGCGACAACGGATGAATCGGTACCGGAAGTTGGGGGGCCTTCTTACCCTTTCTCTCGTCCCCCTCCCCTCCTTTGCCAGGTTGCGGGGTATCGAGGTGCTCCTGCAGCGCCTGTCAGCCGCCCTGCCGGACTGCCCTCTGCTGCACCTCATTGCGCAGGTGTGTGTGTGTGTGTGTGTGTGTGTGTGTGTGTGTGTGTGTGTGTGTGTGTGTGTGTGTTGAGGGGGAGAGGGGGCTGTGTGGGAGGCGGGTGGTGATGGAAAAGGAACCAATGTCCTCTTAATTCGCGGTGTACCTGTGTGTGCCGGTACATATGTACCTGTGTATGTGCGTGTGCAAATGGGCCCGAACAGGTCGCTGTCGCAGCACCTTCCCCAACTTCCCCGGCCCTCGCACATACATACATACAAACAAAGAGATCCTCTCTAATCTTCATACCCGAGCCCACTTGACCGCCCCCTCAAATTCGCTGTGGCCCTTACCCCTACCCAGGCTTTAGCTGAGCTGTGCAAGGACCAGGAGTGCAAGGTGGGTTGCGTGTGTGTGTGTGTGGTGGTGGGGGAAGTGTGGGGGGGTCCTTCCCAACCCAGCTTCCCATAACGCATACCCAGACATATATCCCAACACACAAACATACACACACACCGGCCCCTCCCGTCCCCGTTTTGTGTTTCAGTCGTACAACACTTAATTCTTTGCTTCTTGCTTACCTCCCTCCCCCCGGGGTTTCCCCCCTCAGGACGCGCTGGTGGCTGCCGGCGGGGTTCCCCGCCTGGTGGCGCTCCTGCACTCCCACAACCCCGTCATCAGCGGACACGCCCTCTCAGCCCTGGGGCAACTGGCCGACCATGCGCTGGCGGTGGAGGGAATCAGGTAAGGGGGGGGGAGGTGTATTTGGCAATATCCGCACACGTACATACATACGTACATGCGTACATACATACATACATAAATGATGTAGCTAGAAACAAAGAAACGGGCACAACCCTCCCCGCGCCTCCTCGCACCAGGGAAGCGGGTGGTCTGTTCCGCCTCGTGGAGCTCGCGGCAGCTGCCGTACCACCAAGTACGACAACCGCCACAAGTGCCACGACTACTGGGGTTGTGGGTGTGGCGGCTGTACCCGTGCCCGTGCTGATGACGGCGGGCGGCGGGTACGACAGGCGGGCGGTGCTTCTGCCCGCTGTGAAGCTGCTGCAGGTGTGAGGGAAGCCCCCCGGGGGCAGAGGGCGGGCGGGGGGGGGAGGTGTGTCGCGAAGTACTGCTACGGCGTTTGGGGACCACTGTAGCTCACCTACATGGTGTGTGTGGTGTATGCCGTATCTCTGCCGGTGTTGCCGTACGATATCGTGATTCATCCCAACAGCACGTGTCGTAATGGCCATATCGTCGCAGAAGCGCTGTTCAGCAGCGGACGTCCTTTATTAATGTTATCCTCATCGACATCATCATCGTCATCATCAGCCTTCTTTCCACCTGGCAAGCCATCACGATCCTTTTTAAGGTTTGGGGGGGGGCTTCCCGCTACCCACAGCGCCGCCTGGGGCCATATTCCCCGTCTACGACAATACCCCGCTCTTGGGGAGAACTCCCTCCCCGCACACCGGACCTTCCCCTGAAGTCGGTTGGTTTGCGTGTCATACACATTCCCCTCCCCCCTTACCCCCAACCCCTCAGGCCCTGAGTCTGGACCCGGGCAGTAAGGTCGCCATCGGTACGGCAGGTGCGGGCGGGAGCGCAGGGGGGGGCGCGGAGGGTGAGGGCGGTGTCACCCCGGACGAATGGAGGAATGGGTGAATGGAATCTGGCTGTGGACTAGACTGGGGGGGGTCTGGGTGCCGTAGGTACGTATGTACGTAGGTGTACGAGCCATACGTAAGTTCGCCCATGCGAGCTAATCGGCCCTGGCTCTTATTCTCCTTCTTCCTGGTTCACTTCGTGACACCCGACCTCCCCCATTCCCGGTTGCTGAGGCCCCGCCTCTTCCTCCGCCTCTTAGAAGGTTTTTCTTTATGTCGGTCTTACCTTCGCACACCACTAACCATAAAAGACCAACAGACAAGACAGACAGGATGGATGGATGGATGGATGGATGG